TTTTACGACTTAACATTTGGATGCAATCACAAACCAAATCTTTATGATCGTAATTCATGTTATAATACGTTATAGCATCTTTGCATTCACACATAAACAATTATTGTTATTTGATATTTACAAAGACAATTCAATGAGATGAATTGATACAGCGAGAAGAAATGAACGAACAATGATGACACAATGGAACATCAGAAATTTCAGATGTGGTATTAAATTTTTTTTCCTGCAAAATCTTCCAGAAACGACTTCATGTAATTTTCGAATAACTTTCTAACATATTGCCAATGAGAAATGCGCGATACTTCAATACTTCAATTCAAATTTCCAAATGTTCAGAATACGAGCCAAAAAATCTTCAGAATCTGTTTGATGAGCTAGGCTTAGCAAAGTTCCGTCATTTCAACTGTATCCGATCAAATCGTTTACTTGTTTCACATGATTCACCAAGAAGAACCAGTCGAGAGATATACACTGAGCGTGAATCGACCAATTTTGATCCTTTTCGATCAATTTATCCGTCTGTTTCATTACAAATCAAGAGAAAAGCGATTCAATAATTATGACAATGAGCAAAATCAGAAATAATCAGAAAAGAGTTGATCAGTTAACTCCCCATTCGATTAAGATTGTGATCGAGAAGGGCCGTCGACTCGGAAGGCCTTTTCCTCGTGAAGATTTGCATCGCGAAATTGCACATCTCTCGTCGAAACAAAGTTTGACAACTTGCATAGATCGGAAGTCGCGAGGCACATGCGAATATTGTTAACAACGAGACGGCATCCACACTTATTATGTAGAAGTCGAGAAAACTGCAATGTAATCACACTTTAAACCAATTTCACATTTCAGCAATCCCCAATGCAATCCAGCATTTCGTAATGTTTCAATTCTGCCGTATTTCAATGACGAGATTTGGAACCCATCAAATAAACTGGCAAAAAAGTGAATCCATTTCCTCAAACAGCACGAATTCGACGAAATGAGATGATTTTGAAAAGTGATAAGAGGCTGAAACCTAGTGAATAATGATGTGGCATCCGTATGCTCCCAAATGGTGATAATAACGTTGAGCATATTGGCTAGAAGATATGTGCATACAACCAGCACCATTGTGCGCGTGGCGGCTCGAACCCGAGCCTGAAATCATGAAATCATTGATACCATAAATGGCTCGTGTTCAGACTTTGATATGCTTCTGATCATACACTCTTGATGAAAGCAATATCATGTTCTTGATCTTAATAACGAGTCAGATTAAGAGTTTTGATCTGTAACAAGTTTCGTTGGTGTAATGTTGAATTTTGCTCTCGAGAACTATGCAAATATTTGAAATATTCAGGCATTTTCGGTGAAGTCCGGAATTTCTTCATGTTCATCCAGGATTATTTATCCTTCTGCTAGAAAATTTTCTTTCTGACAGTCTTTACCCCAACCCAACCGGACGGGACTAAAGAAACGATCTGAAGTAGTATATCCTGAAGTGTCAGCTCGCGAATGGTGTTACACTGCTAGAAGTTGGTACTTTTGCACAGAAAACTGCATTTCAAATCGAACATGTCTGCAGGTCGAAAGCGAAAAATCAGTGGAGTTGCTGTATCGCAAACGAACTCGAATGGTTTTCCCTACTGCATAAGAATGGACGAAGCCGTTAAGATAACGACGACAAGCAATGCAAACTTTTAAGTAAATTGCCGAATTCTCAAATAACCCAAACCACTTCACTGTTCTTAATAAGTGCACGTATCGCATGTGCACATGATCAAAGATTTGCTAGCAAAAGCACTTTGCAACACAAAGAGGCCGTTCGAACGTGTCAAACAATGAATTATTCTCGGCGACTAATATAAAAGTACATGAGAATAGGTAAGACAATTGCTCTCAACGAAATAATTCTCTCATTTCAAGTTGAACTTCATGGAATGAAAGCTGATATTTCTCACGAATTAGCACTTTTCCTCTCGCAAAATTTTCGTCTCGTTTCGTGAATCGAACTTCAAAAACTAAAGAAAGGCTCAAAAATTCACATTGTCGGAAAAAAGTTTTCAGCAAAAGCGACAATAACGAATGTTTTTGTAAAAACCTAAAAACTATCGGTTGTTCCGGAAATGAGGCAACCAGTGAAGCTGAACTAAATTTGAATAGAATATTTGGTCGTTTGGCGATGCCCAATCCTTGGTACTTCACGAACACGGTCAACTATCGACGACGCTTTAAAATAGTGAGGATTGAGTGATTTTTGGAACGTGGACAGGTGGAAATGAACTGATCAGACAGATCAAATGATCAGAAGCATTTGGGAAAATAAAACTTCATTTGAGGTGTATGATGAACCTTGCGCTGCTTTGCGCTGACCGCTTTATTGGCGTGGTTGTGAGTGGAGCTCGATTGCGTTCCCAAATAAACGTTCTTCCTCAGTTCATTCACAATTCTTGCATTCAAGTACATCAACGTGAAGAATGGAAACAGAATTGTGACTATATTCCGAAACCAAAAACGCCATAGTTTATAGTGGCGATTGTGAATCACCAATGGGGTCACCTCTAGATGATACTCGTTCAGTGTATCTGCACAATCCGGATCGTATACGGGCTGGAAAGGAGCGAGGATAAAGTTGATGCGAACTTGAGATTTGATTAGTTCAGTCATTTGCATGATTCAAGCATTATACTTCAAAGAATACAGGTCGCTTCAAGTCGGACGCTTCAACTTTGGAGTTCTTAGAGATATTGCTGAAATTTTCATAGATTCATAATCTTCACGGGATTTGTATTCGAAATACTTGTGCAAAATATACTCCCTTCTGCATCTGCAGAAGCGATTACCTAACAATAAGATCAACTGATCTCGAAGTGTGTTTGATACTGATCAAAATAAAACTGATTTTGATTCGAGGTTAAGAGATGTATTCCTGTGGTAAATGAATGCTAATAGGATTTCTCAGAAATGTTGGATCGGATACATCCATCTTACTGTTAAGTGAGATGGGATATATTGGATCAACTGGAAAGGTCTTATAGTGCACGAACTGAAAAATTGAATTGTATTGGGGGGATAGTGGAGGAATAGGAGGGAAGTGAACTTACGACGATCTCAAGAAGGAGTGTTCCCTTCGTGAAGACACCAATGACCACAGCGAAGAATGCGATAAGTTTGCGATTGTTTTGCAGGAATTCAACGCAGTGATGCGATACGGTAACGCAGAATCGTTCGACTGTGGCGAAAACGATCAGAAACGATGAAGTTGTTATTGTGATATGGGACATGGTCATCATTGGCACCAAATATACCACCCTGAAATTGCAAGTAATCAACTTCCTGGCGATTCAATGTCGACAACGTCTATGATCTAACTGAATCGAAATTCGACGAATCCTGAGGCCGAGACGTTCCAAATTTGGAATATTCACTGTAGAAAACGGAACAGAATCATCCATTTTGAGACTATTCGCTGGATCGGATCGATAGAACTATGGAATGAAAGAGGAAATTCGTTTGAGTTATCATTTTAAATTTCTGATGGAAATTAGATAGGTGAGAAATTTGTCTCGGTAAAATGCTTCCTTAGACATGTCAGAATTCCCGTCTGTTCAATTGCACGAATTTTGTAGAAAAAAAACGATAGAGGAAATTAAGTTGGAATGGTAGGAATTCTTTGCAGTGGTGTATCGCGATTAGTAGCGAACTGGCGATTCCGTATTAAACTGAAAAACTTCTAAAATTTCATGGGATGATAAAGTCCGTAAGCAAAATACAAATGTACCACAAGAATGATCGACGACAAGATCACGATATTCAAGTACAGTAGCTGAAACTGAAGCTGAAATTTAAAACCTGAAAGTTTGGTACAGCTTTAAAATGCAAATTAGTGATCACTCACCACATTCGTTTCAAATAGACGCTTTCGGTGAACTGATACAACACTTTAACGGACATAATCAGAATATACGTTCCACTGATGAAGGTATCCGACAACGCCAGCAACATCAAATACAACGAGCAACTGTTACGATGCTGTCGACTCGATACAAACACCGCGAACAGAAATATATTCTCAACAATACTGATCGTTGATAATGTTGAGCCGAGCACAGTCACTAACCAGAATCGTTCGACCAGATAATCCGTATCAATAATATAGCAACTAGGGTGCCTTAGCAAGGTGGAAACTGTGCTCTTGGACCATTCAGCCGGATGAGTGCTGTTATGAATGCCTATTGTATCGCCAGAATCATTCATTGCTCTGGAGAAGAACTGAAATTTAGCGGTGTTTCATGCGATGGATCATCAGAAAATGCTTGAAAATAAACGTTTGTCGCATACGGCAGCAATGTTAACACGCCATTTGACAGCAAGTGAAACATTCAAACTTTCTGGTTTTTCAAAAGTTCAATCGAACGTGTGTGGTGTTTCGAGATTTATCAAATTATCGTGCTTGAGATGGACGAGGTGATAGACTGAATCTGACGATATCTGTAGTGAATGCACTGGAATCATCAGTTGCAGTGGATGGGCTCTTGTGATTGAATGCCACCAGGCATGATGGACATTGATAAATCTGATCTACAAAATAGACAAAAGGTGATCACATTTTCTTTCATACAAGAAGTTCGATTTTGAGATGTTACATTAAACAGTTTGATCATAAACCAACGAAAACCCTAACATTAAGCTGGAAACATCAAGCCAAACCTATGGATATCATATAGTCTAAAGCGCTTAAACGAAAACCTAAGTCTTATTAAAACGGTAAAAATTATTTCTTATGTAAGGCAAAACTTCATAGAAGATAGAGCAATGTCAAAGATGAGGAGAAGAACGCTTGTCGACTCAAAAAGGATACTGAAAAGAATTCGAACAAAAAAAAGTAAGTGCCATCTAAGAAGCACACTCATTATTTTTAGCTAAACGGTCGATGGACGGATGGATGGATGCACTGTTTCACATTCGCAGAAACACTCGTCTGCTTATCCACTCAGCAAATACTTTCGGCTAAACAAACCTCGAATAAATTTCAATTGCGTGAATATTCACATAGTCAAATGGTTTTTCACTTACAAAGTCATAAGATGCGATACGAAGTTTACAAAGATGTGAAGTGTGCAGATTTGTGCAGTCGTTCCGAACGGCCATTGAATGAATGATATTATGGGATGAATTGTTCCATTCGTCGTAATGTACAACAATAAAGAAACCGAAAAAAACTTCATAAAATGTCTTCGAAAGAGTAATAACGTCCCGAAAGACGAACAATTGTATGTCACTTCACCGAGGGACGAGGAAAATAAAAGAGACATTAATTTAACTTTAACGATTTCATGTGTCGATTGAAAAGTGAACAGTAGATCATATGGCCGATCGGTATTGGTTATGAACTGATGCTGTTTTAAGAAATCACTGCAGAATGAATTCTCAAGTGCTGTTTTTATTTGAGAGAAAGTATTTTCGCTGAATATTTTTGAATTTCCATGACCCTGATGATCCACTGATGGAAGCTTGTTGGGTGATCAGTTAATCAGTTAATCAGGTGATCAGTTAATGGATGTCCGATCAGTTAATCCGATCAGTTGCAAAACTCAGCAGTTAGGCCAGATCAACTGTCATTCATTGCAAAGAAGACTTCAGCATGAGAAATTTCTGCGATTAACGATTAGTTCTCGCATGCGACTAACAACCCAATGAAATGAAACAACAAGAACAAGTTTCAGGATGCAGGTGAACGTGGTAAGTTGGTGGGAGATTATGGTATTTGGCCGTCTTCTATTTGTTGCAATAAGAAACATGAGATCTGGTGAGCTAGGCAAGATGACTGAGGTACGGCAGATCATATGGGTGAGTTTAAGGTCAAACTAAATAGTCGTTTTATTTGCCCTCATGTTGAAAATACCTTCATGTTGAAAATAGTTATGACTTCATTGCCTATGTGTTTCTACACTTTTTGCAATTCAACATAGATATTATTTATCACCTAAGTGCGAGTGAACTATTAATTAACTGTGAAAATGTGGTGTTGAGGAAAAGTTAACGATAGTATTGTATCTATTTTCCATCAAAAAAAACACATCCTAATTAAGAACAGACAAAGCCAGGTCTGGGTCTTCATTAGGAGGAGGTTCGTGATGAATGTGAAATTCGATAAACAATACTAATTTCATGATAAGATAAATCCAGTAATAACAGAATGGTGATGAGAAAAGAAGACCCGTACATTACGCATAGAGGATGAGTGAATGGTTGAATGAAAACAAATCTTAACTTATAGTTAGTGCAAGAGCATTTGCGGTAGGTGCTTCCACAAGTGTGAATAAAACAACGAAAGTAAATTACATTTTGGTCATGAAGAATGACACAAGAATGCGTGACAGGCGAATGCTGAAAGTACATCTATCTATTTAATTACAATAAAAATTTTAATTATAGCCAGACACAAGGATAACAGATTCATTTTTAGGTTCAGCATGCAAGTATGTTACATTTGGTATATTGATAGTGACATCTTTTACACAATTAGCCGCTGAAAGCAGCAATATGATGCTATCCAACATCAATATTATTAGGGAATCGTACCTCTTGAACATTGCCCACTGGGTAATATCCGAGAATACATCTGAAAATGTCAGCAAATGCCCAAACCAATACAGCTATCATTTCATGATTGACATGAGCGGAGAATGGAGGAAAATCTTACTTAGTATGAGTTAATCAAAAGCTGACGAGGGTATGAGCCAAATGTGAGATAAAAACAGTAAAGTACAACGATGAATTGAATTCGGACTTAAGCTTAGGCTAATGCACATACTTGGGAAACATCTATTTGTTCAACAGATACCTCACTCGGGTACCACGAAAGCACCCATTTGTTTAATAGATACTCTAGTCCTGATATGAGCCATGACCTAAATTTGATCTATCGTTGTGCCAAATTTGATCTTTTAATTGTTCCCACAAGAAGTACGATGACAATTTTTGATGCGCTCAACCTAGAAAGCTAGCACCAAACACAACGAAACTGCTCACGTGTGAAATTGCTCACGAAGAACTCAACTAAGAACATGATCAGAAAGAATAATCTGCCTGCTGGATAGACAGACGAAGGTTTTGTCGTTATCGCCAGGCAATCCGTATAAAAATGATTCTTGAAGCGCTGTCGAGCTTGAAGATACGCTTTTGATTTTTGCTGTCAGCTAATTCATTTGATTGGGATTCGTCATGCCATCCTACAATTGGATTATTTAGGCTAGTAACAGAAACTTTTTGCTGTATTCCGATTCAGCAGTGAGCCATAGATGCAAGGCTCTTTCGCCGGAGGCTCGATGTTCAGGAGTTATTGATGATCGTCAGACGGAAGCAACGAGAAGCCGTTTCCATCTCGTTAGATTTCATTTCAATTTTCGAATTTTGCTAATGACAGCAGTGATGATGTAATGATGATGACAGTGCATGGAGATGAGAATTGTTGAAGGAAAAGAAGCTAAAAACTGATTCGAACAAGCTTCAGAATCTAGATAATCCGACGATTGATAATGCAGTGACCTGACTTAAAAGACAATAACTTTCTAGAGATGTTAAATGCGTAATGATTATGTGCTTGTTGTTGTTATCGTGCTAATCGATCAAACCTAACATGACCATATCTAAAGTATTTGATAGTGATGAGAACTTGAGTGATACGACATCGCATGCAACTTCATTACTTTTCCAATCATTAACATATATCCAAGGGAATATCAAAATTTCAGGCAATCAGCACTGAAAAGCAAATGAATTTAACGCAGCAAGTGGCGTGAGCGCAATGATAAAGGTAAACAATTCTCAAAATGTCAGACGGAAGCAACGAGAAGCGTTTGATAATATACGAAAATATTACGATACGCAAAAAATTATACGAAAAAAAAACCAAAATGTGCATTTGAAGAGATAATATACGAAAATATTACTCACGATTAGAACATATGAAAAGCAGAAAATTCGAAATTGCATCTGCAAACATCTGCAAACACCAAGATTTCAGCAATTTCGATGAACGGCTAATCAGAAGAAAGTCAGATTTAAGTNGAAAATTGGAAAAAAAATCGCCACTTGGCTTTAGCCATAAACTCAATTATCTCATTGTTCAGTTGAATGTTTCACATATCTTTTGTATCAGTATCTCTCAAATTTGGTTCAATCTGTCATTGGTCCTCGAACGAATACTACCAAAAAAAGCTATCGCATTGGGCGTGTGCATGGCCGTTGGTCCCGATGGGTTCGGATTTGCACAATAAAAGTTTTCAAAGGCTTTGCAAGCATGAATTTCCATTTTCTGAACATATCAAAGAAAAATCACCTTCATTTTCTTTTCATCAAGAAACCATCATTCCGTTGTTAAGGAGAGAATTTTTTCTTTGAAATATATCGACACTCTTTCTCGATTTGCCTTTATCGATGACATGAATCGGCCAGAGGATTAGAGTTGAGTTGTTTCGAGTCTATAAGAAGGAAAAGACGAGGTCTGGAAATTTTCTAACCTTAAGAAATGTATTGCTGGATGAAAAGTGTTTTCGAAATACCATTTCAGCTGGAAGAACTGCTGAGAGAAGTCATAATGCAGATTCTGAAGGCGGTAATTCAGATTCTCGCTCAGATCTAATCAAACTAACAGTTTTGACAAAACGTCGCACCACTAAAGTTTGCAATCATAATCACTTACAGTTCAACGAAACATCAGTTTCCACATACTTTATCACCTCAATCAGTAATTATTACCTGATGAATGGCTTCTGAATCATTCTCCGAATCGGTGAAGAGTATTTTAGACTGAATTTAATTTACTGAAGGAAAAAGGAATTTGCAAAATCTGACAGAACAAAGCAGAACAAATTCAGTGCATCAGTAAGTCATATTTGATTTAAAGATGTACCATGTATGTGTATATATACTGGAAGATAGTTTCTTCAATTCGATCGGAAGCACTCCGAAGAAGATGGCTGGAATGATAAGAAGCAATAGTGTGAGCGATAACTGAACTCAATAATGATACTAAGTGACATCCGATCAAGAAAGGATAGCAAAGTGACACAATCGAAATCTTTAAACGAAGATTTAAAAACAAGAAATCATATTTGTAGTTTCGATAGACAAACAATCTCTTGTCTGAGATTCCTTCAATGATAGTCACAGATTTGACGACTATATTCGACTTATACAGTAATCATTTACTCCGCAAAGTAGCAGACAACCCAAAAATATTTGACAATCAT